ATTTGTGTCTTTGTAAAGCATGTTTATATTTGTGTCTTTGTGCATTGTATGTATTTACAGACCTTTAGGCATTGTATATTTGGGTGTTTTCCATGTCATGTGTTTACGTATATTTGTAGCTTGCCATCTATTCATAAAGAATATGAGTGAAGAAAATCTTTTGCTAAATGACGAGAAAAGGGGCAAATAAGGTCATGTACTAACCAAAAAAGGTCAAATAAGGCCTTATTTAGGAGGCGTTGTCTGGCCATCGCCATTTGAAGTGGTTCCCGGGGGAATTTTTTTATGAAAATTTTTTAGCATCTTATTCATTAAGTCTAGTTTACTCATACTAAATTTCAGCTAAAATTTCAATCAGGATGTGACACCGCACCCGAACGTCCTTGAAAAACTCAATATAAAAAAATTAATTTCTATGTATTGAATTTTTTATTTCCAAACAATTGTAAAACGATTAATGTTTTACGTAGCGCATGATTGATTTTTGTATTGTTCAAACTCGCATATTAGTGTTGTGTTTGCAAATACTTATTTGGGCCTTATTAATGAATATAAGAGCCCAACATTATCTAAATAATGTTACATAACCTTTCAAGACAAGTTGAGGAAGGTCGGGCGGCCCAAGCATTATTTAGGGCCCAACCTGCTAAAAATAGTAAGTATTCAAGAAGGGCGTCCGAGGCCCACTCGAGGGTGACCCACATGGCTAATAGTCCAATAATATGAATGACTAATGTCAAAATAAGTAATTGAATGATTAGAGAAGAATGCAAATACCTATGGTCCCATTTTTGGTATTATTGAGCTAAATAACGGGAGTAGGTTTTTCTTCTATAATATTCATCATGTAAATTATTGGGATGATCATACACATATTGGAGATCAATAATATGATGTAGAGAGCTGAATTGTTCTAAATAAATTGGAATGGGTACAAAAAGACATCTTATGACAAAGAGATCAAAAGTGAGACCCACCCATGTCTAAAAACATCTCATGGAGACCATACCAATTCATTTCACTCCACACAACTTATCCAACCTTATTGAAGGGTCTTAAACACTCCTTTAAGCCCCTCATTCGAACTCCCAAGGATAAGGGAGAAGGAGAGAGCCACACAACCAAGAAAGCAAGAGAAAGGGGAAGCTGCCCGCAGGTTCATTTTCCAGTGCGTTGGTTTGTTTGTTTGGTTCATATCTCGAGCTATACTTATCCAAATAAGGCGTGTGAGGTGCCCAAAGAAAGCTCTCAAGAAGTGGAATCCATAGACGTGCGGTTTGAAGGAAACGGAGAAGTTGAAGGCCTCCAAATCGTCCGAACAAAACGCAACCTCGCAGAATACGTTTTTGTATTCAAAGTAAGTTTGAATCCAAAACCTTCCTCTCTATTGTTTAAATCGTATGAATGATTGAAGAGCTATTATAAACTGGTTGGAGTGTATAAAATGTTATTATATAGTGACTTTAATTGTTGGAAAGGTTAGATACTAACCTAGACAAAACCTTGAAAGGTTAGGGAACGAATTCGCCGGAAAAACACTCGTTCTAGGGGCTGTTTTCGTATCGACATTTAGGGGTTGAGCTAGCACTTTGAGGAGGCTGTTTAACACTCATATTTAAGCAAGGAATCAGTTCATAATCCACCTTGACCGGAGCTTTGACCATTGGATCAAGAAGGAAAAGTTTAAAGCTCAATTAAGGTGAGGATCGACATCTAATTGTTTACAACTTGTAGGTTAAGCATGAGATTACCTAAATGCCTAAATCATAATTTTTCATCGATTATTATGATTAAATATTGATGAAATATTGATATAGTTCCCAAAGAATGAAATTGGAAATGATTTGAGGATGTATGAATAATATGAGATTAAATGAGTTACAAATGAACTATTTTGTGAAATGGGGATTTTACTCATGTATGAAATATGTGGATACATAAATGGATATTTATGTATTGAAGTTGAATATTTAAGTTGCTGCTACATACTTATAAATATGTAGAGAATTACAAAATGAGGATATTTGTATGATGACAATAATCTTAATAGTATTGAAATACTAGTTAGTGATTAATTGAAATTGTTGATAGAATTGATCCTAAGTATTGGATTGTATGGAATGCACCTGAATGTACTTCAAGTGCATAAAATGACTTAGTATGAAGCTAAGAGTAAGTTATGGGCAGTCATTAAGAATGACTCAAGGTATATTATTGAGATGTCAATTCTAGGCATAGGTTTGCTTAGGAATTGGACTATAATGAGGAATTAGAGCCGGACTCTATGATTGCATGGAAATGTAGTTGGGCCGAGCCCTTGCCATGTAATTGTGATTTGCATGGAAATGTAGTTGGTCCGAGACCTTGCCATGTAAATTGTGATTTGCATAGAAATGTAGTTGGACTGAGCCCTTGCTATGCAAATGTGATAGGATGTAATTGTGATTTGCATGGAAATGTAGTTGGTCCGAGACCTTGCCATGTAAATTGTGATTTGCATAGAAATGTAGTTGGGCCGAGCCCTTGCTATGCAAATGTGATAGGATGTAAATTGTGGTTTGCATAGAAACGTAGTTGGGCCGAGCCCTTGCTATGCAAATGTGATAGGATGTACTTGACATAAAGGATTGCATAGAAATGTAGTTGGGCCGAGCCCTTGCTATGCAATAGTAATGTGATGAACTCTATGAATTGTCGTGGCTTATAGTCACGGGGAATGGGAATGGTGATTTCTAAATGAACATGGGCCCACGAGCCGATTACTTGACTTTTATATAAAGTAAGTATATTATCAAACGGGGTAACTTAGGGTTACCACTATATTGTATTATCACCCTATTTGAGGGTCTTGTGTTTGAAATACTTGTTGTATATCCCTTGGATTCCATCCACACCAGTACTTTATAGCCGTATAGAGTACTGACCCCTTCGGGGGCGTCCCACCACCATTTCAGGTTGAGGCTCGAGCTTGCTACTTGTGCCCGTTGCTCGGGTGATCCTTTGGAGAGAAGACGTGGTTCGTGCTTCCTCCATTCTGATTTGAACACTAATAAATTTGCTCATGGATATTTTACTATAGAGCCTGCGTGCTCATGAATAGCCTTGTGTGGCCCTTTTGTTTTTAACAATGTTTTCCGCTGCGTTATGAATTACTTATTATGTTTGTTTATGGATGTTATGTGTGTGAATGATATTCAAGACGCCTTGTATAATATGAATGTGTTGGACTGCGGTTGACTATTCGTATTGTACGGCGGGTTGTTGACGTGTCCGGGGAGGTCCGGGGCGTGACAATTTAATTGGTATCAGAGCCTTAGTCCATAAACTTCATAATGAAGTCTCAAAAATTCTCTTTTCAAAATGATTTTTGAAAACCATGAGCATAAACGTTTTGTACTTGTAGAGCTTTTGGGACTTGAGTTGCAAGGTCTCTAATTGTTAAGATGGTACCCTTAGCCATTGGTATGACAGCAATTTGAGCCAAATAGTGTCTTAAGTACCGATCTGTCAATTGACATTTGATACGAGTCTAACGACTCTTTCCAAATTTCTTTCAGAAATGGACTGTGGTGGCAAGGTTACTAAGAGAAACTCGACGGGCCGTGCACCGGTGGAGACTGGGCAGGGCAGTCGTAGGACCTCTAAGGTATCTAGAGGAGCGGGCCGTGGAGGTCGATCACAAACCGTGAGTGACGGTCATATGAGCACTGAGAGTGACAGCTACTGGTCCTACGAGGACTCGACCTATCAACCGGAAACCGAGCCGGTTGAGACCCCTTATGAAGGGGATGATGATGTAAGTGATGAAGAGGAGGAAAATGGCTCCTTAGCATGAATCGAAGCATTACTCCAACAGTATCACCGTGAGCGTGAGGAAAGGAGGGAACGCCAAAGGCGCCGAGCTGGACAACCTCCGGGTGGGGCTTCTGGAGTGAGAAGCCATGTCGACTCTAGGACCCACATCAAACCACATGGGGGCCGAGGTGATGGAGGTCCAACCATAAGGATCTCCAAGTACATTAAGGAGGCAAGGGACTTGGGGTGCAAACCGTTCGATGGGACGGGAGACATCTCGATTGCCGCTCAATGGATCAAGAGGTTGAATGAGGCAGCTCTTGACATGCAACTCACGCCCAATCTTAAACTGAGGATTGCAGTAAGATTACTTGAGGGGATGGCATCCAAGTGGTGGGATGGGACAAAAGGCAAGTATGGTGAAACTGTCGTTTGGGAGGACTTCCGACGGGAGTTCTTTGCCCAATAATACTCTGATTTTGAGGTAAATGCAAAGGTGAGGGAATATACCCTTCTAACTCAGGGTGGTAACATGACGGTGAGGGAACTTGAGCACAAGTTCAGGGACCTTGCCGACTATATACCGGAGTATGCATGTGACGAGAACCGAATGGTGAACCACTTCTGGGATGCCCTAGACTTGGAGATACGTGATAGGGCAACACAATTGCCTAACATGACCTTCAGCCAAGTGGTTGATCAAGACTTGAAAGGGGAGAAGCAATGGGAGGAGAGGAAGAGGAGAGATGCCGAAGAGGCGAAAAAGAGAAAGGGGGAGAGTCATGGCCCTCAAGGTTCCAATAAAAAGGGAAACCATGGAGGAGGATCTTTCTAAACACCACCGCCCCCACCTAGGGGGAACCAAGGCCCGAATGGACAAGGATCACGGACCTCGGGGGTAGCTCGGTGCAATAATTGCAAAAGGAGCCACTTTGGCAAGTGTCGTGACCCTCCTACATGCTTCCAATGTGGGGATGCTGGGCATTTGAAGATGAATTGCCCACAATTGGGTGGGGCAAGGTCATCGGGACCAAGTAGAGGGGCTACGGGAACAAGAAACCAAGCCCGGGGTTCCCAATTAACTAGGGGGAATGGAGGAGCAAGCACGAGCAACGCGCCATCGGTGAATCAAGAAAGGACTCAAGCTAGAGTCTATGCGATGACAGAGGCGGATGCTCAAGCTAACCCGGATTCCGTTGCAGGTATTACCTCTTGTATACTTGTGTTTTATCCTTAATTAGTCCATAAATTGAGGTTACTAGTCGTTGGGATCATTGCACGAAGCTTTGAGGTCGAACCGGGAGGATTTCGGGCAGTTTCGGGCTGTTTTCGCCCAGGCACGATCGTGCCTAAGGGCACGCACGATCGTGCCTGCATGGCAGTAGCTCCCTAGAATTTTTCCAAGCCAGGCACGATCGTGCCTACCCCCAGGCACGCCGTGCCTGGCACCCAGATTGCCGAAAACCGATTTTTCGCACCGTTTTGCGACGTTAAGACCTTTTCTTGATCCCTAACGTGTGTGTGAACATTGTAACCTTCTATAAATGAGTAGGGAGGGTAAGAAAGATGTCTTACATGGTTCATGAATGTAGGGACACTAAAGATTAATGGGAAGGATGCACGAATCCTTATCGATACCGGGGCGCAACGTTCATTCGTGAATGAGGCATTCGCCGAGGGCTTAGAGATACAACCAATGCCGTTGACGCAAACTTTAGTGGTATCGAAACCACTAGGGGATGACGTTGAAAGAACCTATTACTATCCATCTTGTGAGGTGGAAGTCGGTGGCCAAACCTTGACGTGTGATTTTGTACCGCTGAGTATGATGGAGTTCGATGCAATCCTAGGGATGGATTGGCTAGAAAAGCATAATGCTAGGGTAGATTGCTACACAAAGGTTTTGAAACTCGAAGGCAATGATGGGGACACCCTACGCTTCGAGGGGGACCGAGGCAAATCAAATAGCTGTATCATATCCGCCGTGAGAGCAAGGAGTATGATGAGAAAAGGGATGCTACCCATATCTAGCATACGTGGTTGACAAAACCAAGGAGGAAGTGAACATCGAAGACGTGAGGGTGGTTTGTAAGTACCCGGATGTCTTCCCAAAAGACCTGTCGGGGCTTCCACCTGATAGGGAGATTGAATTTGTGATCGAGGTCGAGCCTGGTACAAAACCAATCTCCATACCACCATACCGTATGGCACCCGCTGAACTTACCGAGTTGAAAACCCAATTGCAAGAGCTTTTGGATAATGGTTTCATTAGACCCAGCCACTCCCCGTGGGGAGCGCCTGTTCGTTTTGTGAAAAAGAAAGATGGGACACTTCGAATGTGTATTGACTATCGTCAACTGAACAAGGTCACAATCAAGAATAGGTATCCTTTGCCTAGGATTGATGACTTGTTTGACCAACTATGAGGGGCAACGGTGTTTTCAAAGATCGACTTGAGGTCGGGTTACCATCAATTGAAGATTAAGGAAGATGACATACCAAAAAGTGCTTTTCGCACAAGGTATGGACATTTTGAATTCCTTGTTATGTCGTTTGGGTTAACAAACGCCCCAGCGGCATTCATGGACTTGATGAACCGAGTACTTCATAAATACTTAGACCGATTCGTGATTGTGTTCATAGATGACATCTTGATTTACTCAAAGAGTGAAGAAGAACATGAGGAGCACTTGATACTTGTCCTTGAGACACTACGGGAGAAGCAACTCTATGCCAAATTTTCTAAATGTGAATTTTGGCTAAAGGAAATTGGCTTTCTCGGGCATGTAGTTTCGGGATCGGGAATTGCTGTTGATAGCAAGAAGATAGAAGCCATTACCGAATGGGAGAGGCCAAAGAACGTCAAGGAAATTCGTAGTTTCCTTGGGTTGGCAGGCTACTACAGAAAGTTCGTGGAGAAGTTCTCTGTTTTGGAATCACCATTGACGAAGCTCACTCGTAAAGGAGCTAAGTTCGTGTGGGATGACAAATGTGAGAAGGGGTTCTTAGAAATGAAGAAGAGGTTAACCGAGGCACCGGTACTTGCATTACCCAAATGGGGTGTGGGGTACGATGTCTATAGTGACGCAAGCATCCAAGGGTTTGGATATGTGTTGATGCAGATGGGGAGGGTAGTCGCCTATGCTTCACGACAGTTGAAGAAGCATGAGGTAAACTATCCTACTCATGATTTAGAGCTGGGAGCAGTGGTGTTTGCATTGAAGATTTGGAGACACTATCCCTACGAAGAGCCGTGTCACATATACGCTGATCATAAGAGCTTGAAATACGTGTGTACTCAAAAAGGGTTAAACATGAGACGACGACGGTGGATGGAGTTGATAAAGGACTACCATCTAGTTAGTGAGTACCATCCAGGTAAGGCAAACGTTGTAGCAGGTGCCCTCAGTCAAAAGAGTTCGTCTGAGGCATTGCTGACTAGTTTGAGGGCATTGAGAGCCCAATTGGATGTATAGCCGCCTGTAGAGGTACGTGAGGATGTGAACTACGCTGTGCAACCGATTAAGGTCATTGATAGAAAGGTGAAGAAACTGCGGAGTAAAGAAGTCCCAATGGTTAAAGTCTTTTGGAAGAGCGATCGCGTCAAAGAAGAGACATGGGAAATAGAGGCTTTGATGAGGGAGCAGTATGCTTCCCTATTTGAGTAGAGTTGCGAATTTCGGGGACGAAATTCCTGTTAAGGGGGGGGGGTGAACTTGTGACACCGCACCCGAACGTCCTTGAAAAACTCAATATAAAAAAAATTAATTTCTATGTATTGAATTTTTTATTTCCAAACAATTGTAAAACGATTAATGTTTTACGTAGCGCATGATTGATTTTTGTATTGTTCAAACTCGTATATTAGTGTCGGGTTTGCAAATACTTATTTGGGCCTTATTAATGAGAATAAGAGCCCAACATTATCTAAATAATGTTACATAACCATTCAAGACAAGTTGAGGAAGGTCGGGCGGCCCAAGCATTATTTTGGGCCCAACCTGCTAAAAATAGTAAGTATTCAAGAAGGGCGTCCGAGGCCCACTCGAGGGTGACCCACATGGCTAGTAGTCCAATAATATGAATGACTAATGTCAAAATAAGTAATTGAATGATTAGAGAAGAATGCAAATACCTATGGTCCCATTTTTGGTATTATTGAGTTAAATAACGGGAGTAGGTTTTTCTTTTATAATATTCATCATGTAAATTATTGGGATGATCATACACATATTGGAGATCAATAATATGATGTAGAGAGCTGAATTGTTCTAAATAAATTGTAATGGGTACAAAAAGACATCTTATGACAAAGAGATCAAAAGTGAGACTCACCCATGTCTAAAAACATCTCATGGAGACCATACCAATTCATTTCACTCCACACAACTTATCCAACCTTATTGAAGGGTCTTAAACACTCCTTTAATCCCCTCATTCGAACTCCCAAGGATAAGGGAGAAGGAGAGAGCCACACAACTAGGCCTGTCAGTGGGTCGGGTCTAGACCCGGACCCGACCCGGACCCGGTTGTTTTTAACGGGTATGGGTCCTTATTTTATTCCGTTTACCCGGACCCGAACCCGGACCCGTTAGTACTTTTAATAAACGGGTCGGGTATGGTACATATGATTCCGACCCGTTAAGGACCCGGACCCGTTTAAAATTTCTTATTAGTATATATACACACTAATATATAAAGAGATTAGTTATAATACTTCAAATAAAAATACAAACTAATATATATATATATAAAGTGATTAGTTTTAATTCTTTGATTAAATATATACAAATTAATACATACCTAATGTATAAGTGATAATATAATAGTATATAATATCCTTTTTGTCCAAAAGAACTTTTTGTGACCTAATTTCTAGTCTAATATACGAATTTTCTATGGGAGAGAAAGAGACACAAAGTACGGAATTGTACGCATCTACAACAAACGATATTTTATTCAATAAAAGTATTAATTTTCTATGATAAACCTTGATTTTTTTTGAAAAGTGAAGATATATTTTGCTCTTAAATTTGTGCACTTTGATTTACATTTCATATACATGTTTTGCTATTTTTAAAAAATTATATAATGTTGTGTCAAAAAAATTATATAATGTTGGTGCACTTGTGCATATGATTCTTGGCGGGTCTACCCGACCCGGTTCCGAGACCCGTTGGGTCCGGGTCCGGGTCCAAATTTTTAGACCCGCCAGGTAAACGGGTCGGGTCCGGGTCCTTTATTTACTTAGCGGGTCCGGGTCTGGAACACTACGTTCCGACCCGGACCCGACCCATTGACAGGTCTACACACAACCAAGAAAGCAAGAGAAAGGGGAAGCTGCCCGCAGGTTCATTTTCCAGTGCGTTGGTTTGTTTGTTTGGTTCATATCTCGAGCTATACTTATCCAAATAAGGCGTGTGAGGTGCCCAAATAAAGCTCTCAAGAAGAGGAATCCATATACATGCGGTTTGAAGGAAACGGAGAAGTTTAAGGCCTCCAAATTGTCCGAACAAAACGCAACCTCGCAGAATACGTTTTTGTATTCAAAGTAAGTTTGAATCCAAAACCTTCCTCTCTATTGTCTAAATCGTATGAATGATTGAAGAGCTATTATAAACTGGTTGGAGTGTATAAAATGTTATTATATAGTGACTTTAATTGTTGGAAAGGTTAGATACTAACCTAGACAAAACCTTGAAAGGTTAGGGAACGAATTCGCCGGAAAAACACCCGTTCTATGGGGCTGTTTTCGTATCGACATTTAGGGGTTGAGCTAGCACTTTGAGGAGGCTGTTTAACACTCATATTTAAGCAAGGAATCAGTTCATAATCCACCTTGACCGGAGCTTTGACCATTGGATCAAGAAGGAAAAGTTTAAAGCTCAATTAAGGTGAGGATCGACATCTAATTGCTTACAACTTGTAGGTTAAGCATGAGATTACCTAAATGCCTAAATCATAATTTTTCATGGATTATTATGATGAAATATTGATATAGTTCCCAATGAATGAAATTGGAAATGATTTGAGGATGTATGAATAATATGAGATTAAATGAGTTATAAATGAACTATTTTGTGAAATGGGGATTTTACTCATGTATGAAATATGTGGATACATAAATGGATATTTATGTATTGAAGTTGAATATTTAAGTTGCTTCTACATACTTATAAATATGTAGAGAATTACAAAATGAGGATATTTGTATGATGACAATAATCTTAATAGTATTGAAATACTAGTTAGTGATTAATTGAAATTGTTGATAGAATTGATCCTAAGTATTGGATTGTATGGAATGCACCTGAATGTACTTCAAGTGCATAAAATGACTTAGTATGAAGCTAAGAGTAAGTTATGGGCAGTCATTAAGAATGACTCAAGGTATATTATTGAGATGTCAATTCTAGGCATAGGTTTGCTTAGGAATTGGACTATAATGAGGAATTAGAGCCGGACTCTATGATTGCATGGAAATGTAGTTGGGCCGAGCCCTTGCCATGTAATTGTGATTTGCATGGAAATGTAGTTGGTCCGAGACCTTGCCATGTAAATTGTGATTTGCATAGAAATGTAGTTGGGCCGAGCCCTTGTTATGCAAATGTGATAGGATGTAATTGTGATTTGCATGGAAATGTAGTTGGTCTGAGACCTTGCCATGTAAATTGTGATTTGCATAGAAATGTAGTTGGGCCGAGCCCTTGCTATGCAAATGTGATAGGATGTAAATTGTGGTTTGCATAGAAACGTAGTTGGGCCGAGCCCTTGCTATGCAAATGTGATAGGATGTACTTGACATAAAGGATTGCATAGAAATGTAGTTGGGCCGAGCCCTTGCTATGCAATAGTAATGTGATGAACTCTATGAATTGTCGTGGCTTATAGTCACGGGGAATGGGAATGGTGATTTCTAAATGAACATGGGCCCACGAGCCGATTACTTGACTTTTATATAAAGTAAGTATATTATCAAACGGGGTAACTTAGGGTTACCACTATATTGTATTATCACCCTATTTGAGGGTCTGGTGTTTGAAATACTTGTTGTATATCCCTTAGATGCCATCCACACCAGTACTTTATAGCCGTATAGAGTACTGACCCCTTCGGGGGCGTCCCACCACCATTTCAGGTTGAGGCTCGAGCTTGCTACCTGTGCCCGTTGCTCGGGTGATCCTTTGGAGAGAAGACGTGGTTCGTGCTACCTCCATTCTGATTTGAACACTAATAAATTTGCTCATGGATATTTTACTATAGAGCCTGCGTGCTCATGAATAGCCTTGTGTGGCCCTTTTGTTTTTAACAATGTTTTCCGCTGCGTTATGAAATACTTATTATGTTTTTTTATGGATGTTATGTGTGTGAATGATATTCAAGACGCCTTGTATAATATGAATGTGTTGGACTGCGGTTGACTATTCGTATTGTACGGCGGGTTGTTGACGTGTCCGGGGAGGTCCGGGGCGTGACACAGGAGCACATTCAAATGAGTATATCTAATTGGTTTGTATGAGGTCGTCAGTGATGAAAGCTTGAGCTATGTATGTGATTACATGAGGCCTAAGGCCAGTACTGACTTAGTCATGCTATTGTGTGTGCCTTTTTTAGGCCAATGATCTGCCCCTAACATGGTATGAGGCCTCAGGCCAGTGTGTGCGTAGTGTTGAGTATGTCTAATTGGTTTGCATGAGGTCAATGATGAAAGCTTGAACTGTGTATGTGATTACATGAGGCCTAAGGCCAGTACTGACTTACTCATGCTAATGTGTGTGCTTTTCTGAGGCCAATGATATGTCCCTAACTTGGTATAAGGCCTCAGGCCAATGTGTGCATAGTGTTGAGTATGTTTAATTGGTTTGTATGAAGTCAATAATGAAAGCTTGAACTGTGTATGTGATTACATGAGGCCTAAGGCCACTACTGACTTACTCATGCTAATGTGTGTGTTTTTCTGAGGCCAATGATATGTCCCTAACTAAATATGAGGCCTCAGGCCAGTGTGTGCATAGTGTTGAGTATGTCTAATTGGTTTGTATGAGGTCAATGATGAAAGCTTGAACTGTGTATGTGATTACACGAGGCCTAAGGCCAGTACTGACTTACTCATGCTAATGTGTGTGCTTTTCTGAGGCCAATGATCTGTCCCTAACTAAATATGAGGCCTCAGGCCAGTGTGTGCATAGTGTTGAGTATGTCTAATTGGTTTGTATGAGGTCAATGATGAAAGCTTGAACTGTGTATGTGATTACATGAGGCCTAAGGCCAATACTGACTTACTCATGCTATTGTGTGTGCTTCATTCTGAGGCCAATGATCTGCCCCTAACTTGTGAGTCACTAGGGGAAACCCTAGGAGACCATATGTGATGGATATGTGAGATTTAGTAGTCACTCTTTCCCTATATAAAAGGCACATTTCAATGCCAATATGAGTTTAATACTTTAATGGTGAGTGTAATGTTAATGGAGTTGGTATGTGTGGTACTGAGTCACCAGGGGAAACCCTAGGAGACCATTGAAGTTTATAATGCCGATGCCTTCAATGATGAAGTGAATGTTAATGTGTTTGTGATGGCTGTAATTGGTCTGTGATGTTTGTGATTCTTATGTGGCTGAACCCCTAATGAGTCATCATGGGAAACCCTAGGAGACCATGGGGGGGGGGGGGGGGTTGTGGCAAGCATTGTTTACAGTCCAAATACAACAGTATAAGTTTCATTGTTCCCTACTTTGTTCCCTACTTTGTCTAGTCATATATCAAAAAAAACTATCCGTGAACATGTGTTGTATTCCAAAAACTAAAAAACTGAACATTATCCATGTTCAAAACCCTAAAAGGCTTCATGCTTAACTGATGCACTAATGTGTCAATAAGTTCAAAAAAGCTATCCATGTCTTTAAATGATATGTACCCATTTTTTCTAAGACTGAACATGTGTAGTATTCCAAAAAAGTAAAAAAAATGTGAATACTTTACTTGTTCAGTCCCCAAAAAACACTTCCACACTGCTCAATCCAAGTTCATTCTCCTAATTCTTGAGTCACCTCCAACAATGTAGTGGAGTCTGCCTTGAAAGAGATTGGTAGCATACCTTGAGCTTGCAATGCATTTTTTCCTACATGTGGCACCTTGTAGTTATTGCATCCCCTAACTTTCAGAATTTCATTCATACACAACTGTAGGGTCAACCAAACACTATTCAATGAAATAGGATTGAACTCAGCATATGCATTTTCCACCCCCAGTCTGAGATCATGAACTGAGTTTTTGGGTCTGCTCTGTTGCAGTGACTGAATAGCTCTAAAAAACCCTAGATTCAAGACATTTATATCAGGGCTATTAGGAGGCTGACATATTAGTTCAATGTTAAATCCATCTGAGGTGGCTTCTTTTGTGAAGTCAGTATCACTTGGATTAATATGGGGTCTTGCATTGTCCTGTTGTATGTAAATATGTTTGCTCACACTAGTAGGCCACTTAGTTTTGATAACAGGCAATACACAACTGAGAAGGCATTCCTTGTAAACATCCTTTGTGATTGAAACAATAACTTTCTCCTCAACTGTGCCAGCTGACCTATTTTTACTGGTTCTCTTAGCTGGTTCCGTTGTAGTAAATGGGAATATTCCGATCTTTCCATCAAATATCACTTCACCATTTGCATGTATAATTGGTCTGGCAACTGCACACAGGAACATGACTTTTGTGATGAATCTTTTAGACTGACATGTCCTATGAGGCTCAACCTCATCCGGATGTAGGTAGCACCTCTGTGATGCCTCTGTCATGTAAAACCATTTCTCATCCACATGTACAAAGTTAAACATGCCTTTATACTGGGCTGCATGTGTTACTGTGTCATCCTCAATGTTTGAGATGATCCATTTTAACCTCTGTATTTTATTCATGTCTTAAGATGAGGCTTGATAGTTGATGTGTGACTTTTAAACTGACCTTTTTGTTTGAGTCTGTGCGCACTGGATTTAGGATGGCCTAAAGCTGCAGAGAGTGACCTGATATTCCTTCTGTTGCGTAGAGGAATATGCAGTATTTTTGACAAGTCAATTTGTACAACTTTCTTACCAACTTTTCCCTTCATCTTGAGCTCTGGGTTCAAGGGAAGACCACTTGCTTGTTGCTCTTTCAGGATATGCCATATTCTTGTTATTGCCCACAGTTGCACCCCGAACTGTTTGGCTATTTTTGAGAAGGTCCATGCTTTAGCTGGCCGTCTTCTGGCCTTTGACTTTCAAGAAGAATATTTTGGATACAAGTTCTTTCTTCATTCGACAGTTTTTTGTACTTTGATGTTTTAGCAACTTGTAACTGTGAATTTTCTGCCATTTTTGGCTTGTAATCTGACGCTACATGCCTACCCGGTTGCCTTTTTAATGTGGGTTTTGGGGGGGACTTTTGAATTTAATGATGACAAATAGTGTGGAAAGGGAAAGCTTTCCCTCCTTTTTTTGGATTGCCGGCAGCCAAGTAATAAGAACAGAGCCCCACACTTGTCTGAAAAGGTGTTGTGTACTGTTAGGAACAGTACATGGTAACTTTAAAATTACCCCCCCCCCCTCCATTCGAAGGGCATAAAGGGCAGTTTGTATGTGAACGGTTAAAACGCTTAAAAAGTCCCGAAAACGAAATGTGTCTTTTATATTGGGACAGAGGGAGTATTAGTCAGTACTCCCTCCGTCCCAAAATGATGGTCCTGTATTTCCTTTTTGGGATGTCCCAAAATGATGGTCTTGTTTCCCTTTTGGTAAAGAACTAAAAGTGGATTATCATTTATACCCCTCCTTTTTAATGAACAGTAAAAGTAAAAAAAAAAGAACAGTACAATAAAGTAAGGTTCTTTAATCTTTCTACCACACTTTCTTAATTTTTGTGCCCAAAAGAAACAAGACTCTCATTTTGGGACGGAGGGAGTAGTAACAAAGGAAATATTAGAAATCAAAATACTAAAAATTCAATGCTTGTAAGTTTAATTAAAAAAACATTAAATACTAGTTATACGAGAATTTGAAAACTATAAGAGGGTATGCGACAAATATACTCATGGTATAATACGGAGTAATAAAGATCTACATAAACCATTTGATTGATTATTTGTAAATAATGACTACTAATTGTTAAATATTGTATCGAACTTCACTTAAAATATACGTTTCAACATTTTATTTGAATATTTATTATAGAAATAAATATTGTTTTGCCATAGTTGTAATTTTTAATTGTAATAATAATAATATTGGTAGTAAAAGAACAATATTTATGGTAATAAAATTCAAAACTATATTTTTGTATTTTGGCCCGCGGGCCAACCCGCAACCCAGTGGGCCAACCCACTTAAACCCGCAACCCGTGTGGGTTGACCCGCGAAACCCGCGAACTAAATGGGTCAGAAATTCTTAACCCCAACTCACCAATGAATGGGTTTAAACAGGCCAGTCCGCGGGTTTCGGCCCATTTTGACAGCTCTATTCCCAGAGACGGTGAGGCGGAGGGCGGCGTGGGAGATGCTGCGAAATCTGGCCGAAAACAATACTATGCATTGGCTTGTGATAGGAGACATGAATGATATTCTATATGAAACTGAAAGAAGGGGAGAGTTCTACACCCGCCATGGAGGATTCGGGGTTTCCGAGAAACAATATTGGCGTGTGGGTTGAGGGATTTTCCGTTTGATGGATATTAGTGGACTTGGGAAATGGGGAAGGGGACATCGAATTGGGTGGAGGAGAAGCTTGATCGGATCCTAGTCAATGATCAATGGTGGAACAATTTCATGGCAGCAAGAGCGACGACGGTAGAAGCTCCTATAAGTGATCATATGGTGCTATTCATGAAGGTTAGTCCAACAATTCATGGAAGAGGTCCAAAGAAATTCCGATTTGAAAATAACTAGCTAAAAGAAGAGGAATGCAGGACAATTGTGGCAAATAGTTGGAATGAAGGGGTGAACTTGACTGTTAGCGAGAGGATCTTATTTTGTGGAAAAGAATTACTGCGGTGGGATGGATGTAGATCGAAAGGGTTCAGATATCAAATTATAGCATGCAAAAGGCGTTTAACATGGCTAAGAGGACTTGATGATAGAGTTAGCACGGAGGAATTCCTCCGGGTTCAGACTGTTTTGCATAGTCTAATGGAGAAAGAAAAACCAGCATTGGAAGCAGAGAGCCAAAGAATTTTGGCTGAAGGAGGAGGATATTAATTCCCGATTTTTCCATAATGCGGTTAAATCAAGGAGGAGGAAGAACAAGCTGACCGGATTAAAGGGTGATGATGGGGCATGGTTTACTGATCGGGGAGTTGCGGAAGACATAGTGAGATTCTATTTTTCAGATCTGTTTAGAGCAGAAGAAGATAATTTTACAGAGGGAGAGTTCTGTCAGATGCCGCGGCTGAGCGAGGATCATAACCGACGGCTTTTGCGAGCAATTACGGCGGAGGAGGTTAAGGCGGCTGTGTTTGACATGTATCTAGAGAAGGCACCAGGGGCGGACAGAATGA